ATCCGCTAAATATCCTAGATTTTTTTAAAATTTCAAAATATAAAACCATATAAAATCTAGATAATATATAGAGATTTTTAAAATAGATAGTCGAATATATATTATCTTAAAAATAAAAGACTAAAGAAATTCGAAAGAAATAGATATCTAAATTTCTATTTTTTCTATTTTGAAATATCGAAAAAAAGAAAGAAATATGTATCAGACTATATTTTATAAAAATATTAATTTTTCATAATTATGAAAAATAATAAAGAAATTATATATTAATTCAAATGAAAATAATTAGACCATCGATCATATTCCGTAATCAGAAGAAGAAAAAGAATTTTCTATTTTATAATCTTTTTAATCCAATATATATTATTTGTAATTTGTTATTAATATGAATATTCTAAATAATAATCGATAATATTCATCATAACGAGATAAAAAAAATAATCGAAAATATAAATTTCTTGAATTTCTTCTATTTATCATAATCTTCATTTGCTCCGGAAAAAAATATATCATGCATAAATTCATTATATTCATATTGGCCATCAATTTATCAATTCTAGGATTTTATTTTCTGTCATCATTACTGCTTATTATAAGAAGAATCGGTTGGGTATCATTCATAAACGCCTATCAATGAAAGAATATCTCGCCCAACCCCAGATTATCCCCGTGCTAAGAGATCGCCCAAAGAACTATTCTCGCGTCAAATTTATAGCGCGGGCTCTATTATATCTTCTTTTTGCGGATTTATTTTTTTTCGGATCATTTAGATATTCAAATAATTCTATTCTCTCATATATATTCGAAATATTTCGGTATATCTATATATAGATCAGAAATTTTCAATTCCTAGAGAAAATAGAAAAATAATATTTCATTTCGGATAAATATTCATTTCATATCATTATAGAAAATTCTCCTATCCGTTCCTTCTTTATATAAAGATTTAGTCTTCGCCCATGAATATTTGATTTTTTTGAATGCTTTATATACATATTAAATATCTTGTATAGAAAAGAAATATTCTAGTCATATTTTCTAAATCAAATATAAATATAAGCAAGGAAAAGAGTAATAAGATGATTGGAAATAATTTCTTTTGATTGATATTTCTATCCGTTTTAGATGTGAGAGAGAGAGAGAGATATAGATATATATATATGAATATCCCTCCCCAAGATCTGTATTGAAAGGTCTTGCGTTATATTTAATTATTGAGAGGTGTTTCATCTCGCACTGCTGAGGACAGTGTAAATAACACTCTCATTTTTCAAAATATTTATATCCGCTGCAATTATTATTGTGTTGTTCTCGAGGTGCGTTTAATGACAACCGGAATCCGGTAGTTGGCTGATATCTATGAGGTTGGTGCAACTCCTCTTTCTTTTCAAGCTTGGGGTTCGTAAGCTCCGACCTTCGCCCCAAAATTTTCAAATCCATCCGAGTCCCAGATCTTAAGTTATCCCCAATACCCCGTACGCGTCAAACTGTGACCAAGCCTTCAGCACCCTCCAACCATCTTTAAAACTCAGCTTTGCAGCATGTCAAGACCCTGACCTCCCAATTAACGCGTGTTCCGATGACCCACTAGACCCACTAGGTCTCTCGCTGCCGCTTCCCGCCACCGCCGCCGATTTCCACTCCTCAAAACGGAGTCTTTTTGTGAACTTCGACTATTCGCAACAATTACTTAAATCAAATCCAAAACCCATAGCCGTAAGGGTCCAAGTACCGAGTAATCATGTAAACCAATACCACAGTCACATACTTTGTATTACACAATTAGGCAGCGAACTGCACGTCCCCAGATACTTTCGTTGTCACTTCTTCGTATTGTCCACATAGAGCCCCTGCAAAACCCAAACCCCGAACCCTAAAACCACGGAAAAAAGTACGCAGGTCCTGCAATCGAAGCCCCAAACTCTAGACAATAATTCCTAAACTTACAAAACCCTGAGTTGTGGTAAAGCGTCGCGTGGCCCAATACATTTTCTGTGACAGATTTGATGACAGTTGAGAAGGGATATGGATCTGAATGAGAGGACGGGCGAGGGAGAAGCGCGTCTAAGGCTTTTCTGGGCCTTCTTACGGTGGCAAATTTGGTAGCTAGGATCTTTTCTGGGTTGCTGTCAAGAAACTGAAATTAAATTTCCTGAATAAGGAGATGAGGTAAACAATTTCAACACTACGTGGAACACACTACTAAGAACCCTTGGTCCACACTCCTTGATTTCATTCTGCTTTTGGGTCTAGTGGTTAGCAGGGAACTACTAAAACATATTGCGGATTGTATAGGGCCCGCTATAGGGATTCGTTTTTCATTCCTTGCTGACCAGAAATACATGAGTCATATATGCAGCTTTCCTCCGTCTGACCAAACAGTCATGAGGTCCCCGTCGATAGATTCTTGGCTCTAAAGGTTTTGCTTGACTCAACCTTCTGCGTACTTACCCAGCCAGTGAGTACATGAAACCTGGGCCAAAAGCGGTTAACCGCCCTAGCCTTCAATCACCAAAAAGTCGTTAGGTGTCTTGCTGCATCAATCACTAACAGAGCCCGATGCTCACGCCTCGAACGGGGCAGGGTAATCTCTTGACCTGAAACTCCAAACTCTAAACAATGCACCCTCACGCCCCTGGAATAGCCGACTCTTCGGTCAAGTCCGAAGTACCGTCCCGGCTAGGGCTTGAAAGCTGAACGGGTCCTGACTGTCGCGCAGCCATTCTTCCTGCGTTTAAGGTCTAGGGATCAGGAAGCTTTCTTCCATGGACTGCGTTGTTGATATGGGGTGCTGGTGATGCATTTCCAGAGGACATCGGTCATTCAATGAGGGTGATCGGAGTTGTCCGCAATTGACTTCTTCGAAGCGGGAGGCCAAGCTCTGAAAAAATCCGTTGCGGTTTGGCTTTGAGGGGTTTTGCCTGGTCCGCTGGGTTTTCGGGCGCTAGGACTCACGGTTCAGAGTTCAAGCCTTCTTTTCGGGGGTCATTCGGAATGTTTGTCTAGCTTGGATTCATGTCTGGGCAAGAATCCCCAAAAGCTTCATACTGCAAGTGGTCAATCGCCAGCCAGCGGGAAAAAAGGAGTGGTTCTTGCACTCAAGGCCGTGCTATTGCGCAGGCAACTGATGCACTACCTTGAGCTTTCATATCCAGACCTTGAACCCCACACATGAAATCGGGAATCGCTAGCTTTTAAGTGGCCTTCATGTAAAGAAGTGAGTCGTCAGAAATAGTGCTGGTGGAAAATTATCTTAGACTATACCTATCAAAGACTGCAAAGTGAGTGTCTATCCCTTATAATCCCTATAACCCTATATATCCCCTATAAGCCCCTTCCAAGGTACCCCTAATTTTGGGAAACACCCATGTGACAGTCAGTGGAGGGGTCGCCCTGGCAAGGGTGAGCTGAAAGAAAATTTGGAGATGCTGGGGGGCCACGGAAAGGGGAGCATCTAGGGGTTTAGAGTCTAGGGTTCAGGTTTAGGGGCTCCGAAAAGCCCAACGCCGGTAAAATTCACAGACTTTGGGGCCGCATGTAGGTACTATTTATATACTTAGAGCCCCGTGGCTTGCCTCAAGCGCCTAGTTCCACCCCAAGCCTACGCGAGTCTTGCTCAGCTTCGGGGAAAAATCAGTCATCAACAAGATGTTGTTGCCATTAGTTGCTGGACAACTCCCTGAAGTTCCTCCCTACAAGCCCTAAACCCCAAGCAATATCCAGGCCAGGTGACCATGGCAAGGCCAAGGCTGATCAACTCACAAAGATGATCTCAAGCAATAAACGCCGCGGCAGACCGATGAAGAAAGTGCATAGATCTTTGCGGTAGTCTGGCTCGAATGCCTTGCAACACTCTGCATATCCCACTCCTTGATTCCCTGCTATCCATATGCCCTGAGAACCCATACTGCGGATTGAGGAAGTCTCGCACCAGCCTCGATACCTCTGGCCCTTGGAGTCGTATTAGGTTGAACGTGCTCACTCTAAGCCCTGACACCTTAATGACCTTTCGGACTCTACAATACTGGGATGTCGAGGGATCTGATGAATTGCTGGAGTAGAGCCAGGGCCAGTGATCTAGGTTTAACAGTCAATAAACAGATCAGGGAGGCGCAATCAAAGTTCAAGTGGAACAAAAACAACGCATTGACAACCTGCACTCTTCAGCTGGGCAAAGAATAACCCTAAACCCTACGCCCTAAATTTCAGGTCACCTTCCTTCTAACAGCTACAATCGCCCTGGGCTCTACGTTTATAAGCAATGCCTACATTGGGCCCTGAAGTCTAGTAAGAAAACATTCGTTGAGCTATTTGCAGCCGTAGGGTCTAGGGTGAACCCCCGAAATCTAAGCCGTTAAACCCTAAAGAACAGTCGTTTCTGAAACCCTATTTGAGTTGTAGTCTAAACTCCAAGTATCCCCCTTCATAACCCCTATATAATACTCCCCTTTCTAGCCCCCCTTTTAAGGAGTTTAGACTATGGCTCATTTAATAAGCCCCAAAGCCCAAAACCCCCAAAACCCTGCGGCTTTGGGTTTCAGGGTTGGTGCAGCCATGTCCGCAGTTCCGAGTCACAGGCTAGCAATAAGGTTTAAGGTTTAGGGATGTTTTTGGTTTAGGGTCCAAAGCTCTACACCCCCAGCCATCGACTCCGAACCCACATCCTAAACCCAAGCCCCAAAGAGCGACGCTAGTTCTTGCGTGTTTCTCTGCGCGTAACTGCTTCTGCATTCTCAAACATGACTCTAAGCTGAAACCATGGGCCCCTAGTACGGAGGTTTAGGGTTTCGCGTTGAGATTCTGGCTTTTTACGGTCCGGGGTCTAAGGTATTTCGCAAGGAATCCCACTTTTGTCATGAGGATCACGACTAGTTCATGTTTACTCAGGGGCCTAGCAACTCTTCAGCTTAAGCACAAACCATTGTCATTCAAATTTAGTACGATGAGAGGTTTTCGAAAACCCTCAGCTTTCTTTTCCCCGTCCACCGCGTCAATGTCGCCGCGCACTCTGCAGTCTGGGCATTCATCTCACGAAGCACCTTGCGCAGCTGAGTAAAATGAACCCTCTAGTGCTAGTCCCAAACTCCAAGTCTTAAACCCTAACTCACGAAGCACCTTACGCAGCTAGTTCACTTAAACCCTATAATCCCAATCCCAAATTCAAAATCTGAAGCCCAAAATTCAAAGGCACTAAGCGGTGCTGCATGATGCCTGTTGTCTTTCACCTCTTACAACAAATCGTACAGTTTGAGAAAATAATGGGGGGGTTGGATGAAATCTGTAAGGAGCGAACTTAAGGCCCCTGATTGTTTGAGAACATCAAGGACACTCATAGGAGTGAGGTGGTAGACTATAGGTATAGGGTATGTTGCTTTCGAGACACAAGGTCTCAAAGCCAGACCTTTGCTATTTCGAGCCGCTACCACATCACTAGTAGCAACGGAATTACGAAACAAGTACTGGCGACCCAACACAAGCAATTGCCCCGCAAATTCGATGACCTCTGAAGATTTCTGAATATTGATAGAAGCACGACACATCTGCAAGTGTGACCTCCTCTACCCTGTACAAGCTGCCTGTAAGGTACCAAGCCCGGCTTCTGCAAAATCTATCTGAGGGGGTTTTGTCAGAGGCCCCTGTAAGAATTCTAGTGTATTGGGGTCTGAACTCGGAGCCTAAACCCTAAACCATCTATTTTGGAGTGTATAATGCCAGGGCTTCTTGGAAACTGCTAGATACGAACCCTGCACTGCGGGGCCGACCTCATGCAAGTCTTCTGGCAGTGGTGAGAAGGCATCGGCCGTGAAGCCATCAGAACCTTGACAGAAGAGTTCGGCGTTCAAATGTGAGACTTTGAATGCACGGGGGTATAAGCGTTTTCGCTGGTTGAGCACGTTCCTGGGTTGCGAAAACGAAAAACGCATAATTTGGCCCAAGGACCTTATTCAGATCAACCCACACACGCGGACACGGTAGCTCAGGGCGGGAAGGCTGGGGGAGGGCGTCAGGAGTCGACATTCACTTTCCGAACATGCAGCGCCTGCTTTCGCAGGGTCCCCTTGCACGACATGACCACAAGGTTCCTGCTTTAAGAATATATAATTCTGCCCCCCAAGATAAACATTTTGCATACCAAGTCTGTTCTTCAGATACATGCTCCCTTGCAAGGCTTTTTTCCTTTTTGGGGTGGCGGCTTTCAGTACTAGGGTCGCGGAGGTCAATTGTCAACCCTCAAGCCTTCTGCCATCAAATGAGATAGATTGCTATAGCACCGCGCCGTCTGTGACGGCACCCTGTGGCTCCAGCACGAAGAATTCCAACACCTTGTCTCCGAATCCCCACGTAGGTATAGAGTTTCGCTCAAGTGGATGGATTCTACGGTACATGGGGATCTTGTTATGATTTTGGGCAATTCCGTAAATTATCCACATTGAGCTTACTTGGAAACAGTGTTACCCTATAAGAGTAGATTTAAGAAAGTGTAGGATACTGAATGGATTTTGAATCCTCAAGTGCTCTTGTATGGGCTCCAGGGACAGTTAAGGCCGCTGCAAAACTTCCTCCCATCATCCCTTCAAGGGCCTCCTTGTGCCCCAGGCGTTGCCAAACGTAGCTGGAAAGCGTGAAGGAAGACCTCAACATGAAGAGCTGCTTGCAACAAACTATAACGTCCAGCTCCGAAACTGTACGTCAGACGGGCTATATAAGGCGAAACAATGCTCCCGGCTGTCTAGATGGATGCCAGGCATTTCTCCTTGTGTGACCAGTTACTGACTGTATAAGCTCAAAACATAGGGCTTCATGCGATGAAGCCCCAACAAGCCCTGTTGGAATTTGGAATCAAACTATAACAAGACCGATGCTCTGTCAAATTTTCGAAACAGAAACTGGGCCACGTAAAAATGACCAAGATCACTTTTAGATTTCTGACCCGCCAGAATCGAAAATCAAGTTTGTGAGGTGAACCCAACTAATGCTTGCAAACAACAGAAAACAGATACTATTACTAACTCTAATTAATACGATCGCTACTAAGTGGACTTCTTTTGCCAACCCTAGCAGGGTCCGCAAAGCAAAATCCGCGGAGACATCACTGCCATCAACTTTTTCGCTGAGGCTGCCTGAAGCTTTCTCGTCGTTGTCAAGCGCCATACGCTCTACTGGGTTCTTGTTAAGGAACTGAAGCTAACTTACCAATGCGTAAAGTATTGAAATGTAATTAACATGGTTTCCACATTATGGCAACTCATATTAAGTTCCTTAACGCCCAGTTTCAAGCTCCAGCACACTGAAGGCTCAAACAGTCCAGGCCCAGAAATCCCCTCCGCCCTCAACTTGACATCCCGAGCCTTGCAACCCTGCAGGGATCCAAATAGCCCAATGTAGGTCATATCCACAGGCTTTAGGCCCAAATGGGCCCAAGGTAGGCTTTTTTTGTATACTTGGATCCCTAGGGCAATTTTGAAGATACAAAACTCTGAAGGCTCCAAGCTTGCATTCCACAATCTCTTGGTCAGGAAGTGTAAAAAGTAATGCAAAATCCAAAACCATAACCCAAAGCCCTTAAGCCTCACATCATAGAGTTGATAAGGTTGATAAGGGCTCGTCTCAAAGGACCCTCCCCCCACCTAAGCCTCCCAAAGGGCACCAATAGCCATTGATGGGTCATACATGGCACCCTATGGTCAGACCCCAAGAAACTCGGCCACAGTAGCCCTAAACCTATTATTGAGTGGGGTTATAACCCTACTTATAATTGGGGTAACCCCTATAAGGTCATTTAGGGGGTTATAAGTAGGGTTATAAGCCCAGTTATAAATAATTACTAAGTCCCATGAACCTCCAAGCGAACCTTAAACCTCAGCCACAGCAGCCCTAAACTTGGTCTTGGCTGGCCACACGCTGGCAAACTTCAAGCTTCCGACCTCCGTAGGCCTTTCACAGTCATTAAACTGTTCACCAAGCTCCCTGCCAAAAGAACCTCATATTATAGAAATTATGATCAGGATATTCATTCTCGCAATACTAACAATAATAGAGAAGATTGTCTTACCGCTGTCGCCGTTATTTTGCTTGTTCAAGCCTGAAGCCACTGACCTCAAACTAGTCTGATGGCCGCTGAAGTCTGATTGTGCTCTGTGGAAAACGGCTAGGTCTCCCAAGAACCCTCTAAATGATAGGAGTACCCTTTTCCAAATATTCAGCTTTCATACGGTAAGGAGAGTTCAAAACAACAAGGAGAAAAAGGGTACTGCTGGGGTACCTACATGGCCTGCAGGATTCAAAGACGAGGATTGGAGAAGCTTAGTCTGGCTTAGATTGCATTTTGGAAGGTGATGGAGTATCTCATGTGCGGAAATGGGTGCGCGATATGCATTTAGAGCCTGGCATTGGGTCAAAGCAAAAACATGGGCAACCACTACACCTCACCCATATTCACACTCATGCTGGGGAAGTCGGTGATCTTATCACACGGCCCACCGTGACAAACCTAAGCCTTGCGCAGTCAAAGCCATGACAACCAATACCCCCTGGCGGCGGATTCAGAGCCTTGAGGTGTGGCCAGCTGAAACCCTCCTAGCGGACAAGACCGTGACAGCTGAAACCCTCTC